TTCCAAAATATGAACAGCCTGGCACAAAACGAAAACTGACTCAAAGTCAATGCATTACACATCAATAAAATTTCAAACACATTATAGTTGCTTGTAAATTTATTCTATAAACCTAGTTATACCATAATTACATACAAATCTTAACACACACAAATATCGAACAATGGTAACATTTTGGCAGTTGAAAACCTGGAGAAAAACGAAATATCCCTCAATGTCACTGCATTGCACATAAATAAAGTCTCAGATACCTTACTATACCCAATAATTACATTCTACAACCTCTAACATACTATATTTAGAGCCATAACTCGTTAACATACACAAATAACAAAAAAAATAAAAATAAAAATAAAAAAAATAAAACGTCTGGTAACGGGATATGGCATCTAAGAAAACTTGCCAAATACTACCAAAGCTTACACTGTTTTATTTAAGAAAAGATTTGTTATTTTTTCACATTGATACAAAGTCAATTTGTATGCTATCTTTATAATGTATAGCAAGTTTTGTAAAGAAAATAATCCAGAAAACGTGATGTTTAGGAAATTCTTGTCGCCATCTTGCACGTTTAATTATCTCTTAACTCTAGGTTAAATGGACCCATTTATTTGGAATAGCTGAATTTGCGTAGAATTTTTATCACAGTTAAACTGTCATCGACTGATGACCGTGACAGTTATACTAGGCAAAGGCCGAAGCATGTGAATTTCTAATAAATGATTTCATAATCCATAACTACAGTTTTGGCGTGTTACTTCTCAATGAAGTTCAATTTCAGTTAAAAGTGCCCTCACACAGTGCTTTCAAATTCACTTCTTGAGCAATCAATTAATTGTTCAGTTCATTCACCTTTATCATGTGATGCCACTGGTTTGGAATTTACTGAGTGATCAACAGAAAATGACCTTTATAACTTTCCTATAGAAACTCTATAAAAAAAATTAGCTCTATAGACTCTATTGAGGACTTTCTATAGAAACTCTATGGTATTTCTATAGAATACATTCTCTATAGAACTTTTTTAATGGCATTCTATAGCAATTCTATACACTATAAAACCTCTATAGAAATCTATAGAATTTCTATAGAATACTATAAGACATTTTCTCAAGGGCGACAGCCCACCCTCACCGACAGCCCACCCTCACCGACAGCCCTCCCTCACCGACAGCCAACCCTCACCGACAGCCCACCTATCCCCCCCCCACCCACACACTCACACATACACACAGACATGAATATATACTTATTATACATATATAAACGAACACACAGCTTTATATAACAAACACGGTTGATTTGAAGTCCCTCCCATCTTTCCTTGACTTTTCTTCCCTTTTTCCACTCTTCCCGCATTCCCTTGATTCTTTTCTTATTCCTGTAGCAGCGCTCGCGAGCCGGCTGCAGAAAAGAGAGTTGCAGAATTGTTGAATACCTCGCATTCCCTTCGGTTTTAGATCTAATCAATTTACTCAATTTCCGCTTCCATTCCGGGTCTTATATTTTTTTTTTTCGAAAAAAAGATATTGAAAATTCTCGATCTTCAAAATCTGACAGGTAAGATCTCCCTTTTTTCTTTTAAGATAGAAAGAACAAAAGTTTACCTTTTTGACCTTTGGGATCCGTTTGTTTGCATTATACACATATACATACGCCGTACATATAAACATACAGGTGACTCCCCCATTCTTTCTATCTACCTACACCTACCTATATATCTGTATGTCTCTTTTACTATCTATATATCTGTCTATGTATCTATCAGTAAACACATTCTCGTGCGCAAGTTTGTGTACACAATCTCTCTCTCTCTCTCTCTCTCTCTCACTCACACACACACACACACACACACACACACACACACACACACACACACACACACACACACACACACACACACACACACACACACACATACACACACACACACTTTATCTACTCTCTCTTTTCTTTTCCAATCTATCTATTTATCCATTACGAATTATCTGAAGTCGGCATACAAGGAAGTATACATACAGATTCGAGTGTAAGAAAGAGTTCAGTCACAGCGAATAAACCATTTCATAAGCAGGAAAATCGTCAGGCAGAGCAATTTTAGCAATTGTGCGGAAATAAGGTGAAACGATAGGCTTCAGGGTCGTGTGTGATACAAAAGATAGGAAGCGCCACAGGGCATAGCGTAACTAGGCGCACCAAAGAGTCTTTCTAATGTAACCATCTATGATTGAAAATAGAAAGTGCGGAAACTTATTCGTCCATGTGATATCCCCAAAGGTATGGTCGGTTGCATTACGTTACTTGCATCTGGTCTTAAATACTTGCAACCGATGACAATGAACAAAAAGAAAGCTATCTGCTTAGAACACAAGTTGCAAAAGGAGAGTTATGCGGATTTGCGATTAAGAATCGATAAAAAGTTATGACTGCGAATTGCGCAAAAATTAGTAAATGAAGTTATGCTGCGTATTATCAACAATAGATCAAGACGAAAATAACAACTTAGAATTGTATGAAATTCATGGTAAGTAAAGGCAATTTTCCTTATGGGAAACAGGCGGGCGCCGTAGCTAGTTTGAAGTGCCAATGCCAAGCTGGACTGATTGGCGAAGGCAAGAAGCGGTGCGGAGAATGAATTACCCCGGCCTTATGTATTTGGGTAGCGCTTGGGTTAGAGTTAAAGTTGGCGACGAGGTTGCGAGAGTTACATGTCAATTCACACAGTTATGAATAAGGAAAAGGTTTCGTTGAAATAGATTTACCTAAGATTGCATAGAATCTTACCTAAACGCAAATAGCCAGAACAAAAAAATTATAAGTGGCCTTGAGGATAATCATGAGTGCGGATGTCCAAGGGGTCAATTATTAATACATGATTCGCATAGAGCTTAGCTCTAATTGCCAAAGTTAGGCACCTCAGAAAAGGTTATGAAATGGACAGAACTTTTATAATTTTTGTTTCTTATCAGCAGTATGTGACGCTAAAAGCCTTATAAACGCAAGGATTGCCATCATAAAATTGAGATGGCGCGCGCATACACAGGATCATGGACGGATCCAGGGAGATGTATTATTCATCTATCATTACCTATATTACCTCGGGGCGTAGGAAAAAGGGTTATAGTACTACGCTTCACAGTTAACCAAGTGTGAACGACTGGAAGAATGCGTAGGCTTTTAAGGTAGAAGCTAATTCTTCCAAGCAGTGGACTATTTTATTAGCATCAGGAATGAAAGACCCTATAGCTCTGGAGGAGGAATGAGCACCACACTAGAAGTCGCGTCGTAGGGTCATCCCGATAAACAATCCTTTAGGGCTTACAAAGAGGGTGCAGATGGCACCAAACCTGATAAACACGGCAGTAAAAATGATCAGGTGAAAGTAATAAGTTATTGTGAAGATGTAATGAAGACGGTGTTGTAAAAGTTGAACCCAGGGTTAGACAAACAGAACTCAGCCCATAACAATGACGAGGAATATATATGCCTTAACCAACGACAAATATACCCTGCAAATATAAAATGTGAGTCACTAAGCTAGGCCGCATCTCTAGTTAGTCTTCCTCTAAGTGAACGCCCAATATTCCAAAAGTATCAAAATGACCGAAAACATGCAGTAATGCCAGCTATTTCTGAATTTGTTATCTAAAAATTCTACCATCGAGTATATACGAAAGCAAGAGGTAAAATCTAGATGAAATAAAGGACATAACATAAAGATTATCCAGGAGCAAATAACACTGATCCCCAGATGAATCTCTACAATACTACCACCATCCCATCACTCGCTCAACGACCGAGACGTCACCCTACTGCTAATAACCCACAACTGTGCAGCTAACAAGTGAGCACACACGATCTCACAATAAATCTCTACAGGTGAGAACAACCACATATAATCGCATGCCAAATTCAATCGCTAATGGATCTCAGCTCTCGCACAACACCACAATAGAAGAATACACGCAACATACACGGAACCCTGCAAAACTCTGCCCCCTACATCCAATATCTGACAAATACAGCTCTAGTCTAGCCATGCTGCGCCTCCTAATGCATCTATCACTTCGCCCATCCCAAGAACTCCCCTAACAAAATAATCATACAAACACACACAAAAGCCGATAATACGCCCAAATACAATTCCTACCAATCATAGCTAGCTCACCCTCTTTCAAACATCGAGTATATAAAACTTACTCTCTCACTTAATGCTACCACTACCTACACCACCCATGAGTAACTACTCCCACTAGCCAACAAATATTAAACCCTATATCCAATATACCTACCCCTACCTACCCTCCAATATAAAATACTAAAATATTATATATTTAATTAATATATATATATATAATATTATATATCCGATAATGAATTAAAAATAGAAATCAGTAAAAAGGAACTAGAAGTAATAATATACAAACAAACAAAATCAAACAAACAAGACAATTAACGATATACCTAAAACAGATAAAAATAATGAGCTGCGAAACATAAGACGGTATTCGTTTATAGCCTTGCATCTATTATAGCGCCCAATTTTGATTTAATCTTCTACATTCATGATTACAGGAAGTGCATATTAAAACCCCGGTCTATACGAGGCAGAGAGAAGACAGGAGAGTTTCAGGACAGCGGAAAGTCACCCGAACATAATATCTAAACTAGCTAGCAAAATGGTCAAAACTACTAGACAAGTCCTTTTTAACTTCTATAGCAAAAATATAATTGAACAACTAGCAAATTTATACTGAACTCACTAACCAACATAATTCGACTATTATCAGTTGTACTTATGAAACTGCTATGAAATATACTTAACTGCAGCCACTCATTATAGGTGAGATGGCAAAGCTAGGCAACAAATATCCATAAATGTAGGAGAACCATTCGATATGTACGAAGTTACGTGAGCTGTGGATCATCAAAAACGTCAAGATAGTGCTATGAATGAAAAAAGCCGAAGCAAAATCTATCAAAGGACTAAATAGGACGCA